GAGATCGGGAAACCACTGCTGACTTTACACCTGCTCACAGCTCCAGGGTCTGGCCGGTCAAGGCAGAACTTTGTTCCCACCAAAGCCTGTACATCAGCTGCCACCGTGGCCTGAGGGAGAATGGCTCCCACCTCCTTCTGCCTTCTAAGCCCATGTGGGTGCATCTTTTTGGCAGAGCCAAAATCTATCCAGAACCCAGTTGGTAAAAGGGTCTGGGAAGTAGTCCTCAGGGTACAGGCCCTCTTTGATTCTGGGGGGAACACAGAGAGGGGTGGGAATGGTACCAAGTGCCAGACAATATCCATTGCAGCCTACCCTCTTGGCTACTCAGTGACTGACTATACACACCTTCTCGAATTCAGAAGTAATAACAGCAACCTTCTCTAAACATCCTTTAATTCAATTTAAATGAGCTCACCTTCTTCTCAAAATGAGAGACCCAGAATACCTTGAGTTACTGTATCTGTAAGGTGACCTTCACCCCTCTTCTAGTTCAATGCCAAACCCACTTAAATATCAAGGAACCTAAGTACTAAATTATAAGTTTCACCAATACTAACTCACCTTATGTAAAATAATAGTGGAAAATAGGAAATGCATATATACATAAACAAGCAAGAAAATATGCATAGCCTAGCCATCTTTTCTGCAACTGGTCATGAGGCTATAGTTGTTATTTACAACTTCCTTCTAATAGGAAATTCATTTTTCCTTTGTGTTTGTCCAGCATCTGAGCTGGTTAGAATTAGTTCTTTTCCTAGTGAAGTGATCCAAAATCTTTATTCCTGAATGGCCTAGTCCTTAGTGGTCTGACCTGTAGTGGGCTGCTCTAATCTACTATGACCACTGGGCAATTTCTAAGAGGTATCCTGAAGAATCCCATGGGTTTTGGAAATAGTCCTCGCTACCCCACAGTAGAGCAACAACCCAATTTCCCCTTGGTACTCACCCCAGCTAGTACAGTAACCCCCTTCTTTGCTTGTTGGTTCAGTGGCATGAGGTGCCCCAAAGGGCCAGATGACAGTCAATGAAACCATTTTTACATTCTCTGGTGGAAGCATTGTCCCCTTGAGAAGTAAGACTTATGAAGTATCAGAGGTCAAAGTTGCAAGAATAAGTAACAGTAATTTTTGAAAGTGGGGTTTAGATGTATGAGTAAGGAGAGATGCTCCTACTTCCCATCTTGGTCTCTGGATCCAAGAAGAGCAGCACCACATACTGTTGCTAGTTGGGAGCATTTACCACATCTCCAGGGCACTGAAAAAGGTTACTCAGATGGTGCCCTAACTAGGTCCACTGTGTGATGGATTCAGGCCATAGTGACACTTGACACCTGACTTCCTGTTATGGACTGAATTGTGTCCTCCTCGAATTCCTATGTTGAAGCCTAACCCCTAATGTGACGGTATTTGGAGATGGGCCCTTGTAGGTAATTAGGTGAGGTCACAAGGGTGGGGTCCTCGTAATTAGTGCCCTCACCAGATAGCTTGATTCCTCATTCTCTCTTCTCCCACGTGAGGACACAGTGAGAAGAAGGTCAGTTGCAAAGTCAGTAAGACACCCTCACTGTAGAACTGAATTAGCTGGCATCTTGATAGTGGACTTACCAGACTCCAGAACTGTGAAAAATAAACTTCTGCTGTTTAAGCCACCTAGTCTATGATATTTTGTTAAGGGAGCCCGAGCGGACTCCCTTCTGAAGTCCCCACTCTGACCGGTAGACTACTGGCATTTTGGATGTCCAGGAACTATCATTAGCTCAGAGCCAGTGTCCAGTAACTACTCAAGAATACTTTTCTCTTTTCCCCACTGTGCAGCCCCCCTTAAAAGTGTTTATAGTTATGTGTGGAAGGGGTAGAAGGGAGATTTACTGTACCTAGTTGTGGCAGGATTGTATATATCTTCACCTTCATTCAAGGGGCTCTGACTCTGTGAACTGGATCAGGTAAGGGAATTGGACAACAGGCCATCATTCTCCATTGTGACTGTAAGTCAAATCTCTGTTCACCAGATCATAGTTTTTTTTGCTTACAAAGATCAAGTAAAACTTTTGTAGGCTATCCATTTATATCAGTTCTAGAGAAACCATGATCAATTCAGCGACTATCAAAGACCCATACAGGTCAAATCCTTCTGATTAATAATACAGCCCTGTTGACCAATGACCAAGCCCACACTGACTCCAGTAGTCCAGTGGCACCAAAGACTGCATGTTAAATATGTCATTTCCCACCCAACATTTCTGACTCCCTAGGCTCTGGACTCCTTTTACATTATGCTAGGGAAGTTCTGGCAGTTCCACATCATTTGATATCATCCTCCATTGAGCCTAGTTTTCAGTTAATCAAACTGCTGGAGCTAACACAGTTAATCCAAAATCTCTGGCAAGAACAGTCATATCAACAAAGTCATCATCAATCCAACACTACATTCCTCCCTCCCTGGTTACAACTCTTTGGTCCTAATCCCACGCATATCCCCCCCAATATTCTGTGAATATAAATGAACAAAATCTAACAAATCTTCTGGTGTTTTAGCTATATATTCCCAGGATGGATTTTCTATTTAGCCCCGAGGGGCATGATGGAACTTGACTACTTTTAGGCCTAAAGATAAAGAGAAATGGAATAAGAATGGGACATGAATGTATCTGCCATCCCATACCTGGGATGAGCTCATTAGTGTCTCCAAGCAAGGTAGGACTAGTTTTATCAGATGGGGAAGGAAAGGAAAGGAAGCTCATTTACAGTTTCTGCAGGAAGGGAAGCTCAGTGGGATTTACAGTCTCAAGGTATTTGGATTCATTTGAATCTACTTAAATGCCCCCATTTGAACTCTCACCTTCTCATGTTTTCCTATTAATGCTTAATTTTCACCTATGAGATCTGATGTGGCTGCAAATTTGACTTACATTGGAATTCAGCAACCTGAGGTATCTGATTCCTGGCTACATTAGCCCTGTGGCTACAAGAGATAGGAGAATCTTGTAGGGCAGTCACAGAAGGTCCCTGGTTTTCTGATTGTGACATGACACAAACATTTTAAACTATGAGATTGTTACTTTATTGCTTTAAGCAACTCAGTGTTGCTTAAGTGTGGATATTCCATAGCTTACTTAAACTATTCCATTATTAATAATTTTTCAGATTATTTAATAAATTCCTAATTCAGGCCCAGACTGAAGTGACAACAAATTGTAGATGGTACTAGCCTTGTACCTGACTAATTATGATGATCATTTCTCTAGAGCCTGGGTATGCTGGGGCAGTCAGAATTCATCCAAGGTGCCTGGTTCCTATAGCACTGGGCCTATCACAGCATTTTGGGAGCTGAGGCCAAACCAATTTCCTGGAGTGCTCAGGGCTAGGGAGATGCCTTAGCCTCAGGAGCTCAGAGGACAAGAAGAGCCTTGTTTCACTGGCCCATATGTTACATGTCTTCCAGTCTTGCAGAGTCTCCTTAAGGAGGGGCCAGCTCATTTACATAATGAGAACTGGCAGAATTTAATATGATATCTGCACAGATGCAATCTTCTTTTAAATAAAAGGCACTGATAAAGCTTATGGTCAAGAAGTTCACTGTATTTTAACATGAAGCAGTTCGGCCATTACATTCAATTTTAACATCCTGAAATTGAGTTTTCCAGGTGACGTGTGGTATACTTTTTTCACAATTCACTGAGCCCATTTACTTTCACCTTTTCAAGTGTTTAAAAGTGCAACATGTTTTAATGGAAATTACAAATTAGTCAATGTCCTCTGACAGGCTCCTTTAAATCTGCTATAATCATTTCTTTGGACCGAAGGTTCTTCTCTGCTCATGCATTGCTAACCTACAATCACCGTGGATGACCAGGATACAATTTAAAAGCCTTGAGGTTCTAAACTGGAATATGAAATTTATTGTGTGGCTCTAGCTCAGTGCAAATTTTTCCACAATTTGACCCAGAAAACAGATGCCCATCAGTACCCTCATAAAGAAGCCCCGTCATTACTGTGACTCTCATAGTTGGAACAAAATGCATCCAAATTTTCCTCTAACCCAGGACTTCTAGAGGGAGAGTTTAAAGGAGCGGCCTCTAAAATGGCTTTAATTGTAGTTTGTATAAGTATTCAGCAAACAAAGCTCACTTTTTCCAAAAAGGTAGGGGCCGACCATTTGCTTTTCTCCAGGCTGTTCCCTGAGCACCTCCAGGAAGATAAAAGTTCTCATCCTTGGCTCAGTAAGTCACTTAAAGCAAGCCCCTCCTCTGAACAGCAGAGCAGACACAACCAACCTGTGTGTAGGAGACTTAGGGGCCAACTGATTGGTGAGCAAAGGAAAGCAGAATCGTTGACAGTCACTTTTATGGAAAGAAAATTAAGGAAGAAATATTCTAGGTGTTAATTCCACCTCTCCCTGTGCTAAGTGTAACTTCAAGGCATTTACTACATTTAAGCCTCAGCTTTTTTACCAGTAAAATGATGGTTCAAATCTCACCATGGCCCCAATTAGGAGTCTGGCAAGAGGATAAGTCAGAGTTGATAAAGCAACTTGAAGTAAGCTTAAAACATTATTAGATCATCTAGAAGCCTACCTAATGCGTAGTTAAAAGCCACATTCATGAGCCTCTCAGAATCTCCAAGGGAGGCACACAGTTTACACACCTAGAGCAGACTCGGTGAGTAAAAGGGGTGGAAGGGACGCTGGTGTCTAAGACAGAAGGTCTCCATTTAGAACTTGTTAATAAAGTATTTCATTCAACTTCTGATTCCATACCCTTATCAATAAACAGGATCACAACTCCCACTCTGTCTAACTTGCAGGGTTATTGTGAAGATCAAAATGAGAATAGAATAACAGAAGTGAAAAAGCACATGGCTAATAAAGCAAAGAGAAAGTACTTTATAGACTTAGTTACAAAGAAAACACTGTTATAATTCATAGGTGCTACTTCAACTCCAAGACCCAGGTTATAGCACAGAGGGGCAGAGAAAAAGCACAGGCTGGAGCCCCCGTACCTGATGGTGGTGCCTTGCAAACGGTCTATCTTCTTATTGAGCTCAGCAATGATGCTGTGGAGTTCTGTGATGCGCTCCTCGTACCGAAGTGTCGTCCGCTCCTGCACATCCTCATGTTCTCTCATGAGGTGGGACTGCTCACACTAGAATCAAGAGAAAGGGACAGAGGGACAGGTGAGTTGACATACCCAGGGATGAGTGATTCTCAGTATTATGGCCTCAAACCATCACAACCTCAACACTGAATATGCCCAAAATATGTAAAACATATGACCGGTCACTGGCTGGCCACGGCCCTGAAGGACACCTGAGTCTTTGCCTTTCTAGTACTCATTCTCTCTTTGGGAATGTTCCCTCAGCCACTGCACAGAGTCCACAGTCTTCGTTTGACTATACAAGTACCCTGCTTTCCTCTAGCCAAGAAAGGGGCAAGTGGCCCAAGCTGGATCCATCAGACACCTTCTTCTGGGAACCTGAGTCTTGAGTGAGTGCACCATAGGTTGCATGGAGTCAATGCACTGACTAACCTGAAGAGATTGTCCCTTAATTCCTGCTACTTATATCTCCAGAGTTTCCCTCCCAAGTTCCTTTCTGGCTGTTTGGTTTTCCTTTTACCAACTCCCTCCGTTTTCGCTGAAGTTTGCCAGGGTACTGGTTTCAGTTACTTTTCAACCAAATAATTCTAAACAGTATAACACCATGTCTTCTCTGGCTACATAATCTGGGAATTTGGTGCTTCCCAATATCCTTTCCTCCCGGACTGTAGTCCTAGAAGGCAGGGACCAGGTGTTTTTATTATTTAACCTAGCACCAGCACATGGCCTGGTACATTGTGGGTGATCTAGAAGTGTTAAGGAATGAATAGATCAGCATTGTCACACTTTCATGAAGGCTACCTTGCAGAAATAACGACAAAGGAAGCTGAGGAGCTTCCCTTGCTCAGTGTTTCATGGACTAAGAGGCAGCAGATGTTATAGAAACATTTTTGTTGGCAGAGTTAAAATTCTAAGGAATCTGTTCATCTCCTTCACTTTCCACCCTCCTCAACCCCCACTAGTCACTGAGCACCTAATCTCATTTGCATAACAATAAAACACTCATCAGCAATAGAACAAGTGGTCTAGTTTGTGTCCCTGTCTACTACATTCAGCTTTGATTAATTTCCTGTCAGCAGAAGAATTTTAATTTCATTTTCAACAAGGTTTTCTTAATGCCAAGAGCCTTATGTACTTGCCAGCCTTGCAGGTTTGCACTGTCAGGCCTGGAGGCAGGTGGGGAAAGGGTAAGACTTCTCACCCACTACCTCCAATGTCCTCCCCTCCCCCCCCATCTGCTACGTTTCCAATGGTGTAAACCAGGGCAGAAACAAAAACTTTCAAAGACAAGCAGAAAGAATACTACACTAGCCTAACTTAGTACTGAAACAGAGGTCTGACATACATTGATATAAATCATGGCAGGGACCAAATCTCAACAACAGCTTGATCAGTATTAATGCACTTTCAGAGCTCCAGAAACCAGCTTGGAGGCAACAAGGTTGTTGAATGCTGTTATTGTAGACCTTCGTGGGATAATTGCTTTCAGAAAAATACTGGTATTTTTCTGTAAACTATTGTTCTTACTGACAACCTGAAACATCAAATCACCTCCACTCAAGGTCAAGCACACAGGGAATAAATGGGAACAGAGGCAAAGATTAAAGCCAAGTGAAAGCCACATCTACACGGAAGCTTTCCTAAACAGAGTGATATTGTAACAGGCCAGAAATACTCTTTCCATGAATTTAGGCCTTTTTCATCCATGATCCATCGCACTTTAAAAGAAAAAAGAGAAGTCCACAAAAAGATAGTACCTGAAAGAGAACTTCTGTCAATAAATGAAACAGCTTCTTATTTCTCTGGAACAAACCAACAGCAGAATATTGTTCCTCTCCATACCTGTAGACCGTGAGTGCTTGCTACTGGTCTTTATTCCCATCCTCAGATTGTGTGTGTGTGTTTGTGTACAAGTGCATATATAGTGGACAGTCTCATAAAAGTCACCAGTCCTAGATCTTAAAATGACTATAGAAAAATGCCCAGTCTCTGACCTGGATCTTGTCTATGCCATGATTGCTTCTACATTGCCATACTGCTGGCTCCTCCTCTTTAGTTTTCCATATTCACTTCTCTAGGGCTACAAATTACTGTGAAATGCTCCCACTTACAACTCAGTGAGCTCTCCCTCTCCCTTTATGTCTCACTCCCTCTTCCTTCTTTGCAGTCTTTACAGGTCCACAGGCCCCTACCACCATGTACCCTATGCTTGTTCCACCACTATATTTTGGAAGTAGACAACTTGTTTTGATTTCACAGATGACACTTTGGACTTTTAAATTGGTGCTGGAACAAGTTAAGACTTTGGGACTATGGGGATGGATTGAATGTATTCATATGTGAGAACGACAGGAGCTTTGGGGAGCCAAAGGCAGAATGCTACAGTCTGAATGTTTGTTTCCTCCAAAACTCATGGGAAGCTTCATCCTCAATGTGAGTGTTAAAAGGTAGGTGATTGGATTGTGAGGGTTACACCCTCATGAATGGATTAATCCATTCATGGATTAATGGGTTAATGGATAAGTGGGTTATCATGGGAGTCTCACTCATGGTTTTATAAAGAAAGAAGCATGTTAGTTTGCTCTCGCTCAGCCCATACCATGTGATGCCCTGCATTGCCAAGGAACTCTGTGGAGAGTCCCCACCAAGAAGGTGGCCCTCACCAGATGCTCTTCCTTGACCAGGGACATCCCAGCCTCCAAAATTGTAAGAAATAAAGTCCGTTTCTTCATAAATTACCGTTTCAGGTATTCTTTCATAAGCAACAGAAAACAGACTGCTACATATCACCTAGGCTGACAAGAAACTGGAAAATCCAATGAACAACGAACATGTGCTAGTGTTTATATAAGAAAAAGGTACATGATCAGTTCACAACCACCAAAAGACCACCTTTGGGTATCTCTGTTGACTGTTATGAGATAACTAAAAGGTAAGATGCTGTGGGGCTGCCCAGATTGCAGAGATATCAGATGGAGAACAAGAATATGAGGTCTGGTATTGCACCATCTTTGCCCCTGCCTCTAACTGGACATCTGTCTGGAGGGTTTGTGTAGGAACAAGAGACAACAGGAAGCCTGATGATTCAGTCAGATTGAACAGCGCTTGTAGCTAAAAAGAGAAAAAAAGACTTATAATGTATATTTGGAATTCCAGGGTTCATTCGGGAGAAGTGACAAAAATATATTGAGGAAAAAAAATTCTCTTAGCTGAGGGCAAAGCTGTTTGGTTTACGTTTCTATATTTCTCCATAACTATGTTTTTTAAAATAGCAGGAAGCCTCTATAATTGAATACTTCCTCTATAAATATCAGACATTTATTGATTTCTCATAATGCATAAGAGACTGTGCTCGGTGCCATGGAGGAGGTGATTATGACATAGACTTTAAAGGGAACTGTGGTTGTGGCTTCCAGGTGGACTGAAAGAATCCCAGACTTTCTTCTGGAGAATAAGAAACATGGATAGAAATAGGGTGTGTGGAGAAGAAGAGATGGTGGAATGGTACTCTGGGGATTCTTTTCCCAGTGAAAATACTGTAAAATAATGATCAAAACAAACTCCTAGCCCCTAGATGTCTGAATTGCTCAAACTTCATCTGTACAAATCAACATCCTCTTATTAAACACGCCTCACTCATTGTGCACTCTCATTGTACCCAGCCAACAAAAAGCTGAAGCACTGATCTCAAGGCTTAACGAAAATCCTGAGTGTTTCCAAGCTGTGGTGCAGGGAGAAGTGGGGTGATTCCCTCAAGGGTGACAGTGTAGGAGGAAACAAGCCATCACCTGCAGGAGCCAAAAGAACCCAACCAAACGACTTGTGAAACAGCTCCCATTAAACTGCACAAGAGTCACCCCCAGGAATGTGGCACTTTAGTGCTGGAAAAGTGGAAGGTGAGTGGCTTTTCCTGTCCTGGTGGCCTGTTAAAGTGAGGCCTGATGCTGTATCATTACTGACCCAGTACCTCTCACCACCCTGAGTTTCCACAAACTGGAAGAGCATTTGTTAACCTGAAAGGGTGTATAATTTGGGGTGTTCTGTTCCACAAGGACACAGGCAAAGCAGCTCAGTACTGCACCTGCATTGAAGTCATCTATGAGCATGTAATAGCTCATGTGTCCCAGTAAAGCCTCATTCAGGAAGGTAATACAATGATGACAACCAAACTGGAAAAAGGGGCATTGTTTCTATGATTACTACTAAACATTCGCACATATTTTTCAATTTTTAAGTTACAAATTTAAGTATATTATAAATATTTTTTTAAACTGATAAGACATCATTTTTTCCATAAGTCCATTAACACAATCCCTTTTCAAATGGTGTTCATTTCTCTCTGGTATTTTCTTATGTAGGTGGGGCTCCACCAGGACCACCATCTGGGGTGTGCATCACATAAGCATCAGCACCTCTGTGGCAGCCAGCAGGGGCCTTCACTGAGACTCTGGTTTGCCTCTCTCCATGCACACGGTGGGAGTATACTTCTCCTCCTGCTTGATACTAAATATGGCCATGTGACTTATTTTGGCCAGTGAGATATGGGTGAACATATACCATTTTGTTTGGAAGCCTTTAAGAGCTCCTGTGGGATTTGCCACACTCCCTTGCCCAGGCCATGGCTGCTGCAACATTGCAGATGGTAAAGGCTCATCAGCTTGGGAGCCTGGGTGAGGACAACATAGCAGAGTCCCTTGCTGACCTCAGTGCACTCCTAGTAAGAAACAAGAAATAAACCTTTGATATTTTACACCACTGAAAATTTGGGGTTATTTGTTATCACTGCATATCCTGACTGATACAATCATTTTGTAGATGAGAAAAGAGACTAAATACGAAGTCACCAGTTTATTTATTGTAACCCTCTGAGAAATCCACTGATTGCTCTTTATGTCATCAAGTAGTTGCAGTTGCAGCTGCTGTGGCCACAGCCTTCCCCTCTACTACTACCTCTCCCAGCTCCCTGACCTGTGGGCTCATCTCCCCCTTACCATTGCCCAAGGATCCTGAGTGGCACCTTGGTCTGTCTCTTGAAACACCTCCTACGA